GCCATTAACTTTGATATTGCCGTAGCTTGGTCAGCCTACTGGTCACCCGTTTTCCAGTCTCTGAGTGCACAGTGCATTAACCCTTGCCGGGATATCCGGCATCATGCGGTTTCCACTCTGCAAAGATGCCTTCTCTCTGTTCACATTGATTCGACCGATGATAAGGAATGGACCGCTATCTTTGACCAGGTCCTCTTCCCACTTATTCTCTTGTTACTGAAACCCGAGGTCTACCATTCCGATCCACTTGGTATGAGTGAAACTCGCGTTCAAGCAGCAACACTGGTTTGCAAAATCTTCCTACGCTATCTCGACCAGCTTCCGAACCAGGAAGGCATGCTAGAGCTCTGGCTGAAGATTCTGGATATCCTTGACCGTATGATGAACAGCGGTCAGGGAGATAGCTTGGTACGTCAAATTGCATTCCTTGAGCTATCGAGAAATGGGTACACTAACTATCTTCTACAGGCGGAGGCAATTCCCGAAAGTCTCAAAAACATTCTTCTAGTCATGGCGGATGGCGGACACTTGGTACCGCCGTCCCAAGATCCCAGCAAGGAACCAATCTGGACGGAAACCAAGAAACGCCTGGAGCGATTCCTCCCAGACTTGTTCAAGGAGATTTTCCCCGAAGACTTGATCGAAAAGCCCGCTGCAGTCTCTGCGGTCTCGTCTCCTATTTCTTCTTCCCACGACAACGCCAACGCCACCGACGCAAACGTTGGAGAGTCTCAGCCAATGCCTGGTCAGTCAGAAAGTGAAGGCGAAGCCATAAAGCCTGAAACCAAGACGGACTAACCGCGGGAACATCTCGTCTATCGACTCTATTCTCCTTTTACCACTTCGAGCATTTATAGCGTGGGTAGCTACTTCGTCGTCTTCCTCTTGTATACATGTAAATATAACGATCATTCGACCAACAATGTCCAGGGAATGGTGGAACAGTCCTACCTAGAATTCATCGACTTCTGGCTCCTCCTTACGAATCTCTCTTCGATAGAAATAATCTGTGTCCTGTCTCTAAGCACTAGCACGAGGTCACTTATTTGATCTACACCAACGAATGAGTCCTTGTAGCAAAATTGGCTCCCAAGACTTGAGATGTGGATTGAAACAGATTGACCATCTATACACACAAAAAAAAGTATAATGCCATCTAGAAGCGGTATCGCGCCCCATGTGGTTGGAAACAAGAACAAAGGGAAACTAGGTAGTATGACAAGACATACGCGGCTGGTTCAGATCCAGTGTCCACAAATACTTCGACAGAACGACAGAACCAACAACAGTCGGATATCGCGAACGAGAAAGACGTTACTGGGAAAATGAGCGATTGACATTCATGTACGTAGGTATGTATGCGCCTTGTAGCGCGGAATGAGTTTCTAAGGAGAAAGGTGCGTGCAACCTTTGAAAAAATTGCGATGTCGAATGCCGGCAGCGGGAGACAGAGACATGAAATAAATGCGAAACGAAAAATGACTATTCGGCATCCATATCATCATCAAGATCAATAGCGTCTGGGTTGACGGGCGCAGAGGGTTGCGGCTGCTGCTGACCCGGCGGAGGGGGACGATTGCCGCCCTCGGGTCCGGTGCTGGCGGCAACGAAGCCGACGGGGGCGCGGGCTTGCCGTTCCAGAGCTGCCATGGCGTCCGCGCGCTCCTTGGAGGCATCCGTGTCTGCTTCCTCGCCTTCCCTCTCTTTGCCCCCTTCCTGGGCGCGTTGCTGGCTGCGGGCGATTGCTTGGGAAGCAATGAAGTTGACATCGGTGCTGTTTCGATAAATATTAGCACATTTTCAAATTTTATGAGTTGATCAGGGTTCACATACTTGTACTGCGCCTGAACACTTCGCTTGATACGAAGCATCTCCTTGAAGGTATCTTCGTTTCCATGTTGGACCTCGAATGCCTCCCACTTCTGCCAGAAGCCGGCGTTCGTACGGGGGTCGCAAAACTGAGAAGCGTGGCCGTAGATCGCACGTGCGCGATCGATTTCGCCAAGTCTCCTTTCCATCTCTGCGAACTTGAGGCACATCTCCTTGGCTTCCTGGTCTGGCAAGGCCGCAATGGCGCGTTCATAGATAGGCCTCGTGGATGTCAAACCAAAGTTGGAGGCAGACTTGGTGATGTAGAACTCAAACATTTCAAATCTGTCCTCGTCGGAAACTGCCCGAGTTGCACGCTCATAGATTCTCATTGCGTGTCGGGCCAGACCGCGTTCTTCTTCAAGGTTGCCATACATCAGATACAGTGGCTTTGCGAACTTCGGGGGACATCCATCGAGAGCCTGTTCGAAGAGGTCTCTTAATCTTTCAATGCCAATCTTCCGATCCACCGCCTTGGTGAGATAAAGGTTCCAGAGCTCGAAAGCGACCGGATAGCTGAAGAGATCCAGGCCTCTTTCGTAGACTTTGAAGGAATCCTCAAAGTATTTATGCTCTTCCAATAGGTTGGCATAGTTGACCACAGTCTGGGGTGTTGCGATGCGCAGTTCAAAAATCCTCTCATATACCTTCCTCGTCTCTTCCAAGGTTGCAACACTCTCGACCAGATCCACATAGAAACTCCAAAGCTTCCAACTCTTATGAACGCGCTGCTGAGGCGAGAGAGTTTCATCAAAATAGTCCACCGTAGACTTCTTCGGCGCCTGCGTAGCCTTGGCCATGATATCGACAGCCTTATCGAAATTCTCACTTCGAAGTTCCATCTCAGCCCATTCGCACCATGTCTCTGCTAATTCAGCGACAGATTTGAAGGGGACCTTGACAGCCTTGTCAAAAATAACTCGGGCCGTGTCCAAATCTCCACCACTCTCGTAGAACTTGGCGTAGTTGACCCAGAGTTCAGAAAACTTTCCATGAGCTTTCTTCGGGTTGATAGCAGCTATGGCGGCGGTGTATGTGTTGACAATTTCTTCTTTGTTGTCACCCCACAGAGCCACCCTCTTCTCCCATTCAATGACATTGTTGGGATTTTGCCTTAACAGGACATCGTTGACAAGGAATGGCCGGCGATCCATAAGTTGTTCAAATCTCAGCATTCGTAGATCAAGATCAAAGTCAGCGTCTTCGTCAACATTCCCTTTATCAGCCCGGACCGCTGCGGCCTCCATCAAGCTTCCAATGATCGATTCTTCAAATTCGACATAGGCGTCGAATATCAGGGTGAAGTCGCGGACGGTCATGACGGTGGTAATACCTTCTTCGAACACATCGCGTGCTTTCTCGAAATTACCCTTCGTGATCCAATAAGTCGCCAACCCAGCCCAGAGCTTCCCTCTCTGATCCGCAAACCGATCAATTCCACTCCGAAGGATGGCATCAACGTCGATGCCGACTTGCGGACCGGTCTGAATCTGCTTCGCTTTAGAGACGAGCAGATCTACCATCTCAGTCCAAAGCTGAAAGTTGCTCTTTCCTTTCTTCGACTGAAATCTCGGATTGTCCAGGATTTCCATGTACCGCTTGACAGCTTCGGTATACCGACCCAGTTCAACGAGCAACTCGATATAATCCTCAGCATTTTCCGGGTGAATTTGCATATAACGAGCCCATATCTTCACAGCTGTTTGTCCAGATGCTGAGCGCGCAAAGGCTTTGTATAATTTCCAGATCCGGTTGTGCTGCGTGATCGGTAGAGCACGAAGCGCGCGGTCGAATGTCCTCCGAGTCTGTGTTACAAATGGTTGTTGTAGCAGGAACGAGAGATACATCTCCCAGATTTTCGGCATTTTATTCAGCAGTATGAGGGCTCGTTCGAAGAGCGCATTCACCTTCTGATATTCACCACGGTATTTTGTCGCATTACGACCCCGAAGGTGGTTTATTCGAAACTCCAGATACTTTAAACAGTCAGTAAAATCATTCATTGCTATATTTCAGAAAATTTATGTGAAGAAAGCGGCCCAGAAAAAAAAGACCGTGTTGACATACCATTTTCCAAAGCTTGTATGATCTGGGAAGCTGTTTACAGGCACGCTCCATAACCTAAACCAATCTATCAGCATGTAATCTCGGAGAAAATGAAGAGAAATCCTACAAAGGCCTGCTCGTAGAGTGTCCCATTCTGCTGTTTGTATTCAATGTAGGCAAGCCATGGTTTGATGCTGCCAGGAGCCCGAAGAAGATCCTGTTCATAGACAGTGTCCTGATCGGCCTATGGGCAAGTACAGTGTTAGAATCAACGATTGCAATACTCAATCCATACTTAGCGCTTACAATCAGGTAAAGATCTGGCCCTGAGGCAGACGTTCGGTCCATCTGTGCGTGTTGCCGGTTAGATCTCTGGGGCAGGAGTGTCCCTGGCATTTCGCCACTCGTTTGAGCGGGACCAGCTCGCACGGTCAACACAGGGTCAGAAAAATGGAGAGTCGCATGAACTGGAGAGCTTCTTGTGTTCCTTGTCGCGTTGACCAGCAAAGATCAAGCGCCGCAGAACGTGAAGTTGGACAGGAACACGTGACCTTCTGTCATGCCGCAGCCAGGCGGGCAGAAGTGGCCCAAGCTTCTTCCTCTATCGCGCTGCGTATCATCGTGCCAATGAGAGGCCCAAGCAATGCGCCCTGCTCTTCCTTGGTAGTAACATCTATTTTGAACATTATTACTGTCATTTAATCATTTCCCAGCCATGTCGGGTGCAGTGGTATGTGTCTTCTCTTTGTCCGGACCGCTTTACCCTTTCGCTGATTGATATGGGTGTCCTTATCAGGGCCGCGAGCCAGTCTTCCCGACCCGCCAGTCGCTGGGGTTGATGAAGAGTAAGCTGAAGGGTGCGGAGACCGGTCACAGCTTATTAAAACGAAAGAGCGAAGCCCTTACGAAGTAAGTCCGCTATTCCTGTCTTGAAATCTATCTCACTTGCTGATATGTCCGTCCAACTGCAGGCGTTTCCGGGGTAAGACAGCTTCCCCGACAAGATAGCACACCCCGCCGCCATTTCTCGAAGCTGATGCTGTATACTAGAGATCACCCGACGCATCGATGAAGCGAAACAGAAGATGGGACGGGTTATGCAAATCGCTGCATTCTCCCTGGCCGAAGTGAGCTACGCTGTTGGTGGAGATATCGGCTACCAAGTTCAAGAATCAGCCAAGCAAGCACGATTCCGTGTGCGGGCCAAACAAGAGAATGTCTCCGGTGTCTTCCTGCCGCAGTTTGAGAGCTACACAGAGGAAGGGATCAATGACTTTGGCTTGACCGGTCTCGGAAAGGGTGGTCAACAGGTCCAGCGGTGTCGGGAGACATATGCTCGAGCGGTGGAGACATTAGTGGAACTTGCGAGTCTACAGGTACTGGATCTTTATATGTGCTGGAGCTCGTTCGTCTCTAACATGCGGTATTTAGACTGCGTTTGTGATCTTAGACGAGGTTATCAAAGTTGTCAATCGACGAGGTGAGCACAATTCGCTTCCGCCCATGATGGCACTGAAACGCTGACCAAGGCCATAGTGAATGCGATGTACGATTGCACCTGAATATGGACCCGAATTTAGAGACTAACCTTTTGATTAGTGAGCACGTCATTATTCCTCGAACCGAGAACACTATAAAATGTAAGTAACCTTACGAGCTCTTATCTCTCCGATTTCTGACCAGGCCCAAGATATCAATTCGGAACTCGATGAATTGGACAGAGAGGAGTTCTACCGATTGAAGAAGGTTTCAAACAAGAAGCAGCGGGATAGCGCCGCCGCTGATGCCGAAATTGTAGCTGCTAGGGAAAGGGAGGCTGCGGACAAGCGGGCCGCTGAAGTCGAAGCGGTGCCAGAAGCCCCAGACGTTCTGGGGGAGAATGAAGACGCCGATGTCATTTTCTAGAGTGTCTGCGCTGTTTCTTTGGGCAATGTACATTTCTTCAAGCATGTTTTGTTCGTCGCTTTACATTCAGTTTCCATCTATCTCATATTATGAGGGTATCACTCAGACACAGGAGGCCAGAGTGAAACGCGGCTCTGCGGATGAATACACATCATTTTCTCCATGATCAAGACCAAAAAATTACAAAATAGAAATGAAAACAGCCTTCCTAACGCCAGAACAAGTTGAACCCGATGCCCAAGGCCGCTCGAAAATGAGTAGTTCACTGTCTTTGGTAGGTGACGCGGATAGGCTTGCCGTTGTCCCCCATAGGCATGTTCGCCGTAGCCTCCTTCGCGCTGATAGCACCAGACTCGTTCTCGTACTCGACGAAGGCTATTCCTTTTCGGCCAGGAACCAATCTGACTTCCTGGAATCCTTCGAACCGACCAAATATAGCGGTAAGGCTCTCTTGGTCGGCGGTGTCGGGCAAGTCCCGCAGGAAAAGAATCTTGTTGGGAGGAAGGTACTCGTCGGGGATAACTGCTGCCGCTGCACCGCTGGTCGGTTTGAGGCCCGCGCCCTTGGCTGCCTTGGCTGGACGCGCTGTGTCGGCAGGGCCAGGGGGACGCTTGAGCTTCTTCTGAGCTTCCAGAGCTTCGTGGGCTTGTTTGCGCTCTACCAGGAACAAACACAGTTAGCGAATGAAACGCCCCAATACCAGAAGAAACAGACAAGACTTGAAGGGGAAAAGGAGAAGGCCAAAAAGAACGCACCCTTCTCTGCTAACCGCCTCCGCTTATGGACCTCAAGCTCTTCTGTCCCGCCGTCTCGCAGAACGGTTGCATCGCTCCTCGTTTTCGCATAGTCGAGGACCATCGGCTTGTCAAAAAGCTCAAACCCGTTGACCTCCTCGATTGCGCGGGTCGCGGATTCGACGTTGTCAAAGACAATGAACGCCTGGCCTTTAGCCTTCAGGTTGGTCTTCGCGACGATATCCACGATATTGCCATACTCGGAGAAGATTTCTTCCAAGGCCACCTTCAGCTGGTCGATCTTGATGCGTTCTTCTAGATTACGGACCTGTTTTGTCAAGAATGTTAGATGCGCTGTTCATTCGTTGTAACATGCAGACGAGGGGACACACATAGACACTGCGGAGCGTAGCTTTGGTTAGCACAATGTAGCTTCCAAGATTGATAAGTCAATGGCCACTCACGTAGGGTTAGGGGGAAGAGAGGAAGTAGTTGCTGGTACTGCGGCCATGGTTGCCACCGCTGAGCCCTTGTCGTGAGCTTGGATGTTTCAGACTACTGACTTTCTGTATCGAGCTTCGGAACTTGCATTTGATCTGAGATAGCTTACTCCGACTGTATATTAGGTCATGTAGAAAGAAATTGTCTTGCTAGACATATGGTAGCATCATTGGTCTAGTGGTAGAATTCGTCGTTGCCATCGACGAGGCCCGTGTTCGATTCACGGATGATGCACTTGATTTTTCTTTTTTGCCGTGGGCGCTGATCACCTTCCGCTCGTTCAATCGTCCTGGATTCTCGATGTTCGTTCATCATCACTTTGAGCACTCAGCGATAAACAGGAAGGTATATTTACAGTTCTATTTATTATTTACAGTCGCAACGTCCCCCTTAAATTGTCGACTTGACCCTTGAGTTGCTTCGGGGGCTTGGTCCAATCCTCGTCCCTCACAAGGTCTGACCCCGTTTCCATGAATAGGTAGTCTGCTACGCTTGAACGGATCTATAGCCGATCAGTATAGACGTCCATGTCCAAAAGGTGTTGCACTACATACCTTGGGAAACGGATGCAAGAGCATTCCGACCATCTTCTTCAGGACATCTGCCCTTAGATGTGCCAACCGACACAGAGGCGCGTAGACTTTGATTGCAGCTTCGAGCCTTGCCATATTCGTGGTCTTAAAGTGTGCCTTTTGCACGAGTACGAAGAGCTTTCGGAAACTACATCAAAGTCAGCCGATTCTATCCAAGCTCTTCCTGCCAATAACGCACCTTGGTTCAGACGCTTCAGGAACGGAGGAGACATAACCATCCACGAGAAAGGCTGCAAATTCCATTGACGGTATGGCGTAGCGGTCATCGTGCAGATTATCGTTCAGTATGACTCCTAGGTCCTTCAAAATGGCACGCACTTCGATCTGCTGCTCCGTCCCACTGTAGCTGCTGAGGCTCTGCACCAGTGCTAGGCGAGTAGAACGGACGAGCCCTTCAGCACCCGCAACCGCAGATGTTGCCAATCCCTGAAACAATGGTAAGCGTAGCCAATCGATCGCTTGCAGCCGAAGTAATTGGACGAAGTATTCGGTCGAAGACACATGACTGAAATGGTCATATTTTCTGCCTGAGTCAGCATAGGTACTACCGATTCAATAATACTTTTATCTTACTCCTGTAACGGTGGAAAGTCTTCCGCTGACGCCCAGAATTCCTGTAGACAAATCCAAGCTTGTAGCCGGACTTTGTCCAACTTCTCTGCAGCAAGCCGGCAAAGACAGCCCACTAGATTCTGAGCATAGATAGAGCGGGATTCCGGACGAGATTGATGTCGAAGGATAATCTTTGCTGCTTGAATTGCCTCCAGTCTCAGCAAGGACCCTACATCGCCTCGCCTGTCGGTTGTGTAGTCATTTAGAAATCTAATGATATGATTCGCAATATTCTCCGTGATAGCTTCTTGCAGTCAGCAGATTGTTTTATTTGATATACGTTAAACTCACCGATATAGGGCAGAACCCCTGTAGTCAAGCCTTTGACCGCTACTACCCTCTTCTCGATCAACTCCTCCTTATCAGTGCAACGAAGCAATGTCTCGATCACGGACTGTCTCAAACTATTGGCAGGTTCAAGTTGCCTGAACACCGCCCCTAGGGCCGAGATCTGTCCTCTGCCCGTTGGCAGCTTCCAGGTAGCACGAATGTGTGCGAACCAATCTTGGATCGTTTCCTCCTGTTTAAATGATGATAGAAGAGGGAAGAACTCGGATACAGCTTCAGATGATGTTTCTATAGCAACATCTTCACTGCGGGATAAACATAGCAAGAGAGTCCCGTGTGCTCTGTCCAGTGAAGTAGATGATGGCTGAGAACAAGTAGGTTCATTTCCTTGGGTAACTGATTGGGAAAGCGAACGTATCAAGCGCGATGAGGCTTCAGCTGTCAATTCCGGTCGAGAAATTTGGAGTGTTAGGTCATCCTTGGTAGGGCCGACTGCAGAGCTAAAAATGTCCCAGAGGTTGGTAACTTGTTGGGCAACGAGAATGGCTTCGGATTTCTCCTTGCTGGTCCCCGCTGTGGCTTTGTGCGCATTAAAGGCATCTACTGTGGCGGAAATAGACAGCAAACAGCCATGTCTCGCCTCGACGTCCCCGCGAGGAAGACTCGATAGCTTGTGCCGTAATCGATGAAGCACCACGCTAATCGTCTTGTACGATTCGTGGATACTGAGTTCTCCGATTGCTTTTGCGGCCTGTCTTCTGGACTCAGCATCAGGAGATCCGATTCCTCGCCAGCCCAAGAGAGATTCCACAAGTGGACTCCAGTAATGGTTACTTAGTGCAGCGGTGGCTTTCGCAACGTCAATCATCGCTCGTGATCGTCTCGCAACTGCATGATAATCCACCACCTGAACTAATGGAATCCCCTCGGCAATGGTGTTGGGATGGCGGCCAATCAGCTCCTGCAGAGCAGCAGAGGCGCCTCTTCGGATATTCCCTGAAGGATCCATACAAGCGGCACATACTAATTCTGTTGCCAGCATCTGCAAGACGCTCTTTTCATCCTGACGCGACGCGGTGCTTATCGTTTGCGTGTTCAAGGTCAACAGTTCCTGGGTTGTGTATTTGCGGGAAATTGCCCATATTCCGAAACACGAAGCATCTCGAACGCCGGTGCCTACCGAGCTTCCCGTAGACAATCGTTGTTCAAATTCGAGACCGGAGATTAGCGGCTGCAGTACATGTGGAAGTTGATGGGTTGGAGGAGCGCGTCGAAAGAGTAAATGCCCCAGTGTGAGTATCAAGCCTTGCCACCTTTGCGCATCTACCGCATTCAGGTTTCGCTTAAGTAGATGCAATCCGATCTTTCGCGCTTCGAACGGTGCAACAATTGTGCCATCCGGCTTCTCGTAAAGTATATTCTCTTCTAGGGAGCCAGTGACAGCCTCGATGACTTCGGACGCCATGTCCGGGTCCAACTTCAGAGTGATGATACTGAGTGCTTTGCTTGCGGCGAAGCGGACAGGTGTATCCTTGTCGGCGAGAGACACCAACAAATGATCGATTGAATCTTCCAGAATCGAAGAAACTTTGTCCTCTGGAATTGGGCTCTTTGGTCTTTCGCTAAGTGACAGTGCCATGACTGTCACAGTTCGCAGAATCTTGATGATAATCTTGCGAGCAAGAGCAGACGAACTGATGATCTCAGATACACCCGTTCGCTCCTGTGCAATATGCAGAGTGCGTTCAAAGGTGGGAATGATCAAGGGCGCAAACTCATCCACCTGCCCCGAAGCGCCCAATCGTCCCAGGAAAGACAAAACACCGATACACGTGTAGACAGAAGGAAGCTCTTCGCTTTTTCCGGGATCCAAGACAGCAAACGCCCATTCTGTAAGATTAGTCAGGAGCCCAAGGGCTTGCATATCCCGCCGCAAAATCAGCTGCGCAAGCAAAAGAGTGGCAGCCTCCCGTTCTTTACCAGGGACATTGACATATTTCAGCGTCACTGAAAGTAGAGACTTTGCTACCATTGGCGCATGCGCCGGTAAAGGCTTGATTTGACCCAGATTGTCGAACGGTACCGGGATATCATCCGAGGACAAGGAGGAGAGGTCAAAGGGGGCGAGCAATAAATGCGAAAGCCAGATCAGCATCACGTAGCGCTCCTCCCAAACTAACTGTCGCGGAGTTTCCCCATAAGATTCGCCCACAGCGAGTGCATCCCACTCGATGAACGCCCGCAACATAGGATCAAGGTACTTGGGCTCATTGTTCAAAAAGCGACTGATAACTTTGACCCCGCGGACCTTGCAAAAGATGTAGAGAAGCCGACAGATGGCCCTTGGCAAGGGATACAGTACCTGCTGCTCAGCCTTGGGGGCTCTAGAGCCATATTGGTCACGATACTTGACCAGGTAGGCAAGGAAGGCATCCACCAGAGGAGGTAGAAGCTCCTGCAGATGCGGGTCTAGCAGCTGCGGCCATTCTTGGAAAGGCTCAAGCTGTAGAGTAACACTGTGAGCGAGTTATATCAACGATATTTAGAGAATGAATGCTCTTACAAGGTTTATAAGTCTCTCTGCCTTGGCAGCCTGCGTCCATCTTCGCGGGACTCGAATACTCTGTCTCTCCTCATTCCGCGGTTTCCAGAGTAGAGATGGCAGCTTGGCGGAGAATTCCTTGACCAAGTCACCGGAAGCTCTCTGTAACTTGATCTCCTTATCGTCGCTTTCATCCATGCTGAAACTTTGCACCTTTAGTGAATTGTGCTTCTGCGACTCTGGCGATCAACAAACAGCGGGGAGACATTGGTCATGGTCACGTGATATATACTGCGCATGTCAATTCGGGACATAGCAGCATGATTTGATCTCAACAAAAAAGGCAATATGGCAGAGCAAATGCTGTTCGAATGAGAATCTCTGAAAGTTTGCTAAGTTTGGTTGGCACTACTATTATGAAGTAGAGTATAGATGCTATGACTCAGCTATGTGACTTGCAGACAGCAGCTGTCATAGTGTGCCAATTCCCAGTCAGAGCCTAAGGCCTGCGAGCCAAAGCAATGCAGCTAAAAAGAAGGTTCTTCTCTCCTCCTCCATCCTCGTTCAACTTGATGATCCTCTTCATGCCCATGTCAAGCGCTCGCGGACTGAGAACGTCCTCGTCGTCAGCAAGACTTCCTCTCTCCAGAGGACCCTTCCTCGACCCTTCAAGCTCCCAGAGCTTCCCACCGCTCTTGACAAAACTCACAAAATGCCCACCATTACGCTCACTCGTCGGGTCCGCATAGCTGTCGCCGGCCTGCTCGACCGACTTGTGAGCAAGTTCGAATGGCTCGCCGTTGTACAGCAATTCGGCGCGTTTGGTCATATCCAGCGGTATGGCGAGGCTTCGTATCGCCGCGAGGTCGGAATCAGGCTTGATAAAGTCGACGGCTGGACCGTTGATCAAGCTATGGAGCAGACCGATCGAGCCGCAGGCGTGGCCGATGGTCTGCTTGAACCAGATGACCGGCTCGTCCGGGCCGGAGCCAGTGTAGGGTTCTTTGTTAGCATCTTCGGCCTCACGACTTCGATCCCAAGCTGGTGTAAGTGGAATGATGGCCAGCAGAGCCAGGGCAGGTCGAGGGATATGTGCGAGTTGTTCGGGTTCATCCAGGGAATAGACGTCGTAGAATTGGAGCTCGGACGATAGACCCAACTTCGTTGCCAATTGGTTCATTACATCGGGGTTGTTCTCTGCCATTTGCGATGAGTTTCTACTCAAAGACAAGTAGACCATGAGGGCTTAGGTCCCTTACCAAGCATTACCCACGTCTTCTTTTCCATTCTGGGGAATCAATAGATGGAGGACGTCGAAAAGTCAGAAATGTTGGTGTGGGGCAGAGAGCTTAACAGTATGTATAATGCATGTATGAAGGGGATGTAGCTGACCTTATAGGAAGGGGGGTAAGCTGACCTTGTTATAAGCACCCCCTCCTACACCACGAAGTTGCTTATAGTGCTACAACTTCGTAGCCACCTTTCATGCTATTAAATAACAGTCTAGTGTTATCCTTAAACACATAGAGCCAAAATATCAAAATAATCATGTCATCCTTAATTACCATCTCAGTGCCCCCACAGAGCGAGCATGCTGGATGTCTTCTGTTCAACTAACAAGGTTACACCAGTATCAATAGTAAAGCTGGCGTTCGCGACGGGAGAGAAAACATGGCAGAGCAAATCCTGTTAGAATGAAGGTCTCTAGTAGTTTGCTAAGTTTGGTGGTCACTACTACACGGTGATCGATTGCTACTGGCCTATGGCTGTATCAAGTTACATATATTTCACTAACTCCCCCAAGCATAAAAGCAAACCACTGAATTCGGTAAATGCTGGTAAGAGAAAGGAAGCCCGAAGTCGAACTGAGTTCTGACTGATTCATGTAACGATATTTCTCAAAGCAGGATGCTCACAGATCTTGGTCCACTACCACATGTGCATCTGCATTGAATCTGCACAAGCCTGCCAAATCATGCTCGGCAAGCTTCATCATGGTGTTGCGGATATGCATGACAGATATTGCCACCGCAAGTGAGTTCCACACATCTTGACCCCGTTCACTGAGGTCGAGTTGGCAAATGAAGTGGCTGTCTTCAGTTCCCCGTTGGCCATTTGCGGCGGAAGGGTCAGTGTTCCGGGTTAAAATGGCAACCACTGGGCCGCTGATAACAAAGCCTGTAAGAAGAGGGAGCATAGTCGGTGCTTTTGCTTTTACTCTATTGGCAGGTGCCACAAGCTCTTTTGTAGCGGATGCAAGGCCATAGGCACTTCGAAATCGATCCGCCAGCTTTTGTAGACGTCGGTTCACTTTCACCACAGCGTTGACGGTACTTTCTCCTCTCTTCCTAGCGCCTATTGCATACAATGGTATTGCTTCTGAACTGACATGTAGACCTGCATCATACACAGCCCAGCGAATGTACTTGCTAATTGCTCGTTTTATGATGGGCTCAGGTCGACGATGCACTAGATTGCAGTCTCTGACATAACCTCCGAGAGAGAATAAAACGGAAAGCGACCTGATTGCTGCAACATATTCAGCGGACTATCAAGGCAAATTGCATGGCTGAGATCCAACTTACCGTAGAATTCCGAGCCTCCGATTGCATTGATCAACGGCGCCGGTTTCTCACCAGAAACAGCGAACAGAGGATTCGGGAGTGTGGAGAAGTCGTAATGCCACTGCTTGGGAAGCAAAGGTTCGAAACCCCTCATGGCGATTCGATAGAAAAGTTGTTTCTCCACTTCGCTCCAAAGGCCCTTGGGCACATTGACAGCGTTTGCCCAGCGCTTCGCTCTTTCCAGGGACAGATCTGGTGCAGAATTGTCTGCCTCATCTTCCTGAATCAATCGAGTATCATCTACTTGCGTAGCATAGTTCGAATGCCTTGCAACAGCGTCTGAGGTTTTGTTCCTTTTCCTCGAGGAGTCTACATTGCCCTGGGTATGAGCCTCGTCATTTGTATTACCTGCCACGCGGGCAGGATAACTTTTCCGCGAGCGTTGATGAGCTTTGACGAGCGCGAAGAAGGCTCTATTTCTATCATCGGCAATCTTGTTGAGTACTTTCATCGCTTTCACCACTAAGGGGTGGTTTGGCTGTGTTCTGGCGTTTACAAGCTCCCACGGATTTTTGGTGACCGTTTCTCCGTCAGAGGTATCAGGCTGGGGAACCGTGAGAGCCGGAGGAACTTGGACTCTTGGTGATGTCGGTTCAGTCTTCATCATTTTCGCAGGTCGAGGTGTCTCTTTGCTAGGAGTAGGTAGATTCCCTGCTCCAATATCAGAGGTCGCTTTCCTTTTCGAGGTTCGCTTGTCTGTAGTCCTGCCCTTGCCCCTCTTTGACGAATCCAGAAATATGTCCTGGTCTCCGTCGTCTTTGTCAGGAACGAAGGCAGGGTCCAAAGTTCTTCTCTTCTTCCGCTGTAAGCCCGTTGGAATCTGCTCATCGTCATCATCTTCACCGGTGTCATTCTTGCCGGGAATATACGTTGGGTCGAGAGCTCGTTTCCTCCGACCATCTTTGGGAATCCTTAGGGAGAACTGATCGTCTTCATCCGGGTCCTGGTCATCTTGATCTGGATCATACAAAGGGTCCAGATCGCGGCTCTTGTTTGCTCTCCTGCTACTAGCGTCTCCGGTGCTTGTCATGTCAGACGGACTCATCAAGCCGTCGTTAAGGCTTTCTTTGTCATCGACGTCCTTCGAGTTTGTAACTCGTTTCCTTCGAATTCTGGATCCTGCAGTGTATTCTGACATCTTCGTGGCTTGCTTTGCTGGTTTAGTAACTGTAGCTCCTGTCGTCGTGTCTGTCTGTGGTAGGGTGTTGCTCACATTGGTTTCACTCCAAGGTGCAATAGACTCAGCTCCGTATTCGTAATGGCTTATCTGCTGAGGGATCAAAGTTCTATCCGCATCAAAATCACTGATAGCCTCAAGTGTTTTGCAAGAGGATAGGGAAGACTCGTATAGTCGGACAGATACAGGTTCTTGCCGGGGAAGAGTGACTCGACGGCGAGAGTGGTGGAGACCGACGCATTATGTCCATCTTCCACTCGCCCTCGAAGAGGGCACAAGACACTAGAATTGCTACCGTCTGAAAGAACGAGGCATTCCGCAGTGCCATGTGCCATGGTAGGATGAAAAAAAAGAGATTAGAAGATCATTCTATCTTTAGTGTCCGCGGGGTGCCTTTCTTTGTTGGATTCGAGGAAGAGTCGTGACAGACAAAGAACATCGAGGACGCCGATGCCAAAGATTAGTCTACAGGACAAAGAGAAAGAACCGAGTCTCCGAGTCAAACTCTACCAGTGATCATCTTCGCAATTCAGTGTCAGTGGATGTGTTGCATTCAGGCCATTATCGATGTCCGCACGGAATACGGTTGTGCGCATAGAGCAACACAAAGAGACCTGAAACGCGAAGCTCCCTACGAAATGAAAAAAAGGAAATATAAGCTGATAGTGTTATGCATACGCTTCCATATCCCTGGAGATAACACTGCCTGGAAGTCCTGAAGCGCGGTGAATGTTAATGGACCTCCACGAGACCCTGCTTTATATTGCCTCTCCAGCCGTCGTCTACGGAGAAGCGTCAGTACCTCTCTCGAATCAAAAGGTAGTTACGGGCGATAATCATCGAACAGAGAGCATTGCATAGTCACATCTCAGAAATGGTAAACTAGAATTCTTGAGGATTAAAGCGATTAGCCCTAAATATTTTTAACGAATGAGGAAGACAGAGACCCCGGGACCAAGCCGTATATTCGATCCGCGCTCATCAAGGCCGTAAAAGTGCGCACACAGCTCTGAAAACTCTCATGGGTATGTTAAGAAAAATCTCCAATGCAAAAACAAAGTGCTCACGGCGACCGGCGATTGGTCAAGAAGTCAAAAAGCAAAGGTTCCAAAGACCTGGTTGGACGAATGAGCAACGAAGGCAATGTCACGATAATTCTCAATCAACACCGAGGAACTTAAGCGAAGTCCGCGGTGTACGAGAAGCCGCGGAACTCCTCCTGCATAGCTTGGGAGAGGACTAGAAATGACATCGTTAGCCTTGAAACAACCAATACCAACGGGTGATATCTTACCTGACTGCACGGGTGTGAGTACGGGGGTCACACTCGTGAACTCCTGATCAAAGTTGCTTGTATCAGTGGGGCTGCTGATCGTCGGCAAGAAAGGCGGAGGAACACGCTTGTGGTAGATATCGTCCCAGTTGATGTTCCTGAAGAAGGCATGGGACATGACTTCTTGAGCGTCTGTGGGCCCAGATCCCAATCTCAGCTCAGGTTCACGGGTGAGCAATTTCTGTAGAATAGAGACCGAGTCCCGAGGCATGTGGATTGGATAGAGAGGCTCATCGGCCAGAATTGCATCATAGATTTCATCTTCGTCTTCACCCCGGAAAGGCGACTGTTGCAGGAGCATCTGATAAATCAGGACACCGAATGCCCACCAATCGACCGCTCGGCCATACTTTTTGTCCAGCAGAATCTGTAAAGGCGTTAATTGACGATGCAAAGACTTGAATAGCGAAGATTCTCACCTCAGGAGCCATGAACTCGGGAGTTCCACAGAATGTGCTGGTTGTGCTTCCATACCACATATTCTCCTTGCAAAGACCGTAATCGGCAATCTTGATGTGTCCATCTAGAGTCAGGAGGATATTGTCCAGCTTCAAGTCACGGTATATAACACCGTTTTCATGGAAGTATTTGAGAGCTAGCAGAACTTCGGCAGCATAAAACCTGTGAAGTGCGCAGTTAGTTTTCCTGATACTTCCGCATATGTGGGGTTTTATGTGCTCAACTTACTGTGCTCGTTTCAGCCCAAACTGACCGCGTTGAATATGAAGCATCAGATCACCACCGCTGATGTATTCCATAACAAAGTACACCCGAGTTTCTGTCTGGAAACAGGCGTGAAGGTTGAGAAGGAATGGATGGCGTTCCTTGTTGGCGATCAGGAAGACACGCTTTTCGGATTTAGTGCTCTCCACTTCATCATTCTCAATGATGAACTCCTTCTTCAGCACCTTGATGGCATAAAGCTTCTTGGTGCTCTTTGTCTCTGCTAGCATGACCTTTCCGAAGTTACCCTTACCGAGAACGGCTAGGAAGTTGAAATGATCCAATCCAATTCTAACTTTCGGTTGCTGAGGAGGAATTTCCTCCTTTACTGCGACTTGTTGCTGCATTGGCGCAACGGCTTGCTGCTGCTGTTGCTGCTGCTGTTGAGGCATGCCATAGGGCGCACCCATCTTTTGCATTGCTTGAGGAGGGATGGCTTGCTGGTAGGATGCATACGCGGCAGGGTCATAGTGGGCGTGCGAGGACGGCGGTGGTTGCACTGGACGGTTAGGATCTAGAGGCAGGGTAAGCAAGGGCACATGTTGCGCACCGAGTGGTGCAAGGGAAATTGATCGAGCGTACCTGAAACTTGCTGGGGCGTACGCAATCCTGTGGCTGCGGCGGCGGCAGCAGCTGCGGCTGCGGGGCTTTGCGAGGAAGAAGTTCGCGGAGGTAGGTGCTGACGCTGAGCCGCTGTGGGTGACTGTGGAGGAATATAAGTGTTGGTTGCGGCGCTGATAGCCTCCGCCGATGGCTGTCTCTGAGGGGCACCGTAGGCACCCTCAACTGGCTTTTGCGGATAGGGGAGAGCAGCATTATCTTGAGGGGCCTGGGGCGGACCGCCTGGTCGAAGGGTACGTCCACTCAGACCGGAACTGACAGAGGCTGATTTATTATGGTTTTTCGCTCGAATGAGAGTTTCCAAGATCTGATTGGCTGCTTCCATGGACATGCCACAGAAGTCAGGAACAAGGTGGGTACATTGAGCATGGCAAGTAAGACCACATTCTGCAAGAGAATCGCAAATATACGTCAGATCCTGTATTGAAAAATGCCCTAATGCCACAAGGAAGACATACCTGTACAGCGCTTAGCGCTCTTTCGTCCGAAAGGAAGCAGGTATCCACAGTGACAACACCAATTGGCCGAGATGTTGGAGAATCCCTCGAAGCGATGCGGAATACGGTGGTTGATCTTTTCCTCGTCGGGGTCCGTTTCGTAGTTGGCCTTGCTGATACACTTGGTGACGACCTTTGGATAGCACTTTCGGTGACAGGTATATTTACAGTCGGCACACTGCATGCCGGCAGCATATTTCAAGAAATCGCCACAAAGCGCACAACGCATGATGTTGTAGAATTGCTGGGTGACAAACTTGTGACCCTGCTTCTCGTGAACCTCCTCCTTCTTCTGTCGGACGGCACCTTGACGGTTGAGACCAATATCGAACGGGCGGCGATCCTTCAATTGCTTGGCTATAAAATATGTCAGTGCGCTGATGTAGTGAAAAATGCGGTATACAGGTACTCACCAAAGCTCAGCGTCAGGTGGATACGACCAACTGGCTCCAACGCGAACCAACTGTCGATCATGACCGGGCCTGCGGAAGGGCCGCCGGGAGCACCACCGGCATATCCTTGACCTGGTCCGCCAGGATGACTCCCAGAGGGTGGTCGATTGGACGAGCCCGGCGCTCCGCCAGCGTCTTGCCTGCCATGCGCGCCCCCGTGCTCCATCTTGTCTGCGGAGACCCAGCCCGATGCGTTAAACTCTGACTCGATCTTCTTGCGGCGCATTTCTTCGGCGATGTCAGATATGCGGACCCAGAGCATGCCAATAGGGGTGGGCCGATCGCCCGACTTGTCGTATACGGTAAGTTCAATTTCATTCGCTTTGTCAATTTCAATGTTAAACGCCTCATCTTGCCATTTGTCGGTTCTGGTAGCTTTCGTTCTCGCTTTGATGGCATCTTCCACTTTGACAACGACAAAAGTCTCGGGACCTCTGGAGAACCTTGAGCTGGCAGCATGATCGACATCCTTTACAGCATGAATACGCAACGTTAATAGACCGGTCAACGGCTTGCGCATGTTCGGTGTGCTCAAGCTTTCGTCTGTTCAAATCAAGTCAGTAACTGCAGATTGCAAAGACCAGGTAACAAGCAGTGGCTCGCAACATACCGTCAGGTGCTTCGGCGGATTCAATATCCACATGAAGGTCCTCATATCGTTTGAGAGCCTGCTTGAGCAGTTGAATTTTCTGATTGCTCTCGATTCGCCTCCCCTCTGCGTCCTGTCGGCTCTTCCTATCGCCCTCATCTTGATATAGACGGACCATCTTCTCGATACCGGCCTTGTATTGCTTCTCAACGCTCAATTTAAATTCCAGTTGAGATAACATAAGCTGAATCTTCGGTCCAAGATAAGGAGTGTCGTACTTGATCAGATCTATACGCAAACGGTCACCAATCAGTAGACGATCTCACGCAACCTCCGCGAAAACACCTCAAACAGCCAACAACATCGCTCCGCACATCAAACAAGCAGTAGAAACCTACCAAGTTTAGTGTAATTCGGCCGGGCCTTGGGAACGGGAGCAAAAGGACGAGGATCCGCGAAGGGCGCTCCGGACGGCATGGTCCCTGCCCCTCCATGCGGATAAGCCCCAGAAGCATCCCCATACTCCCTCTCGTGACCAGAATAGCCTGATGCGTAATCTTTAGGAGGAGGGACTGGACCCGACCCGTCAGGATTCGGAGGAAGACGTTTGTCTGTGGGGGAAGCCCCTTCCTGCTTCATCTGTCGGAGCTGCAGCTCCCGCATCTTCTCTTCGAGGTAGGCGATGTTTTTCCGACCATCGCGGATATTCGCATCGACTCTCTGCTGCACGAGCGGGTTATCGGTCGACTGCCGCATGTTCGATGCGGCAGTGATGAGAGCCTTCTCCCGCTCGATCTTGCGATAGACCGAGGCAATAAGGTCGTCCCCGTCCATGGTGGCAAGGTGGTCCGAAGACGAGAAAGTTGTGTTTTCCCGAGAGACTTCGAACCTAGTCACACGATGGAAAATTAGTAAACCCGGGGAAACGATCGAATGGAAGAGGTGAGGATATATGGATGGGGAGTGTGGGAAGGTGAGAGAACCGTCGCGGGGTTCTTGTTGACAGTTGCAAAGGAGGGGGGGCAGTCGATCGCAACGAGGGCGGACTAACAGTAAGGTAGTCAATAATACTCTCAAAGATATGCCACTCGGGAAACGTGAACCAATGCCCAGCTCGATGACAAAATCACTTTCTTTCTTCTTCTCCAATCAACCAGAAGAAAGATCAGAAGATGATGAAGTGAAACAGCCCGGCTCCTGGATCGACAGCCAGGGGTAAACAAGATTGATTTTTCTTGGGATGGTTTTTTTCGCCCTCGTTTGGCCGATGAACTGGGCTGTGCTTGATTCCTGGCCAGACTCGGATTCGTGGGAAGTCTACTGTCTGGCTTGACCGCCCGCCAGCAAAATAATAATAGGGAATAATATTCCTAGTATTCTGGTTGGGTAGCGAACCGTTGAGGCTACGTACCTGAGTACCTATATACGTGAATAATTGATGTTTCTCTGCTGGAATTGGGCTGGCAGCTGCGATGAGACCGTAAGGGATTGAAATAGGCCTCAATTTCGACACGGGGCAACAATCAGTTGGATTATACGGCAAAGGGAGGAAATGACAGTCTGATCTGGTTGTAGCATATAAAGTGAGATTCTCGAAGAGCCTTGAGAAGGTAGAAACGATTTCTGGATCATATGGGGGATCCCTAGATAGCTTGGCTGATATAGGTCTCTCCGACAGTACATACGAACACAAATGAATCAGGGAACAAATCTAGTGACTTATCGACAGGTGTCGAATCTAAGATACGTACGAGATATTTATTTTTAAGGGGACCTAATCTGTTCTCTGTAAAATATCCCCCAAGCACCATCCAGCCAAATATGTTGTGGTGACCTGACTTGCCCGTAGTCATCCATAGACCTTCGAGCATGTCCCCAACAGTCATGTGGCTCCTCTGCGCGGCCTGTATCTTGCAGTAAACTAAGTTTAAGCCATCTGTGCATGCTTCGTCACACATGATCTCCTGTGGACTTAATAGCTCACCCCGGGATGGGCGGCGTACGAGTTCTTGAGGCACATTCCTGCGCCAGATCTAGAGTAGCAAGGAATGCCACCCAGAACAAGGGAGGAGAAGACAAGTAGGCAACCAGAAAGACTCAGTCTGCAGCGGGAAGCTGACAACAAGCACAGGCAATGAGAGGCTCTTCGAATAAGATCATGTTTGCCTCTTGTACGTCATGGTCACAAAGGAATACTGCTCCTTCCCAGCAATGGAACGTTGCTTGGGCGATCCTGATTCATATCTCATCTCTGAGTTACAGTCAGAGGAAGACTGAATATGCTGAAAACTGATCACAGGAAGTACTATCCACTGGCGTTTTGGAGGCTGAGAATTCGGATGCGCAGCTGCGAAAAAGTCTCCATGCATCATTAGAGGCAGAATTCGCGTGAAGTATTGGCCCTCCAGTAACACCATGAAGCTCAGCATAACCCATTCCCTCATTACTTTGGCAATCCAAGCAAGTTTATTCGGATCTCTTCGAGACCTTAGGCATCAAGGCCCAACCCACAAGCATCACACCATATAACCCAATGCAGATTGGGTGAAGAACATATGTTCCCACACTCTGCGCCAGCAAGCCTGTGAAGAAGGGCGCAACGGCACCACCGCTACTTCCCATAGCACTGATAAAGCTCAAGCTAGAAATCTGAATATTTCTGGGAAGCAACTTGCTGAAGACTGCCGTAGCACAGGGGTAGACGGGACCTAGCAGCAATCCCACAATAGCCACAGAAACCGCGTCCCCGATGACATTTGGTATAAGCCACGTCATAAGCTGGAAAGCAGCAGATCCCACAACCAGCAATACAACTGCAAGCTTTTCCCCAGCCATATGCGCCGGATGCGAGAGCACAAAGCGTCCAAGGGTAATGCCCGCCCAAAAACCGGCGCTGACATAGCCGACATGGGAGGGATCTCCTTTACGATAGCTGATCAGAAACGAGACAACCCAGCCTGAAATAGAAACCTCTGCACCCTGATATGCAAAGATGAAAAGAGCCCCGAGTAACGTCGTTTTGTTCTTGACTGCTTGCTTCAATAGTTGCTTTTTGCTTGCCACATTGTGACCATGCTCCTGCTGTGAAGCCGTCTGCTGAAGCGCGGTGAGAAGTTGAATCGGCAGCTCTTTTTCATACCCGCGGAAGGTCCACATTGCAAACGCTAGGTTGAACACTGCTAGTGCAAGGTTGATAGAGTAGTAGACAGACCACTGGACACCGTCAGATACCATGGCCGTCGCTATTAGCGGTCCCATAATCCCTCCAATGCCGTAGCTACCGTGCATGGCGCCGAGAGAAGTCGTACTGTTCGCTAGGTTCGCACAGAAAACGTTGTTCAAGGCCAAATTCAGCGCGATTCCGAATCCCAGCAGAAAGAAACTGGCCACAACGGCTGGAAATGGCGGTTTGCAGAGAATGATCACATATCCCGCAACCAACAAACTCATTGATAAGGCGTAAGATTTCGAGCGCCCGAGTTTTGCCTCAAAGAATTGTGTGACTGGCGCAGCAAGAATGAACCCCAGCGCATTAGTCACAAAAATCAGAGACACGACTGCGTAACCGATATTGTAGTCTTTCTCAATGTACGGAATCAGAGCACCCGGGCCGCTGTCATTCAAGCCATTGGCCACATTCATCATACAAGCACTCAATAGTCGCCATCTTGTTGTCGCAGATGAGGTGGGATTCGGCAGTGGATCGATAGCATCAATAGCATCGATGGCACCGTCTTCTGCAGGTGAGCCCGGTAGGCTCTCCAACTCGCTGGGAGTGACGGGTGTGATAGACATATGAACTCCGGTGCTTGGCCCAGATGCAGGAGACCGGCGACTTTCGCGCATATGATCTAGCTCATATTCGGAGGGAGTGCGAGCGATACCCTGCCGATCTTTTCGCACCACGGCCGCAGGGTTAGCGATCGGTGAGGCGCTCTCAAACCGCACCACGGCCCCAAAGGCTGAGGTCGACATGGCGAGAGTGTGTTATCCTAATCCAGCTATATCAGGAAAGAGATATCTGTATCTGAATTCAGCTGGAGAAGTCGAACGATTCGCGTGGAAAAGAGCGTGAAAAGAAGACTCTTAGAAGCCCACGAGGTGCCACATCAACATTTATAATCATGTTTGGAAAATGAGTTCCGATGACGACCAGCTGACTCAAAGGTGAGATATCTTCACGATAGGTGTGCTAAGATCCTCGAGGTTCCAGAACACGACGGGGAGCCATTTAGTGCATTGTCAGCTGAGCTGGCCATTTTTTTACCATCTTTCCAATCGCTAGGGGATGGATGATCCACAATGGATACGCTGTCAGCCCTGTATGGACGAAGAACTATTCATGTTCCAATCATCACGGTCGTCGGGAGCTCGCGATAGGTGCGGGATGGAGGGGAAGGTACGGAGTACCTACGATAAAGCTCCACAGTAGTCTATCCCCGCCACTGTGAAGTTTTTTTTTCTTTTTTTATCTTGTATTTCATCTGCTTGTCATCTTCACCGTTTTCACAAACAATGAACAGCTGTCAATTTTATGACTGACATTTGACAGTCATTGAACTCGACACTGAACCGAATATACAGAGGGAAGTCAAAGTAGAGTTCTTGCTTCCGTCATCAAATTTTGTTCCCTCAAGAAGCCATGGGTCCTCCAAGAAGAAAGGTGCTTGCTACAGCTGAAGAGACGTTGTTCCCGCCTGATGAGCTTGCTCAAGGACAACTAATTGGCCGAGTCATTAAAGCCACTGGGAACAATGTCTACCTGGTCGAATATCCTTCAAAGGCCAGAGCGTTGGTAGAATTGCCTGCCCGGTTCCGATCCACAATCTGGATCAAGCGGGGTTCCTATGTCGTGGTAGACACGAATGCGTTAGAGGATAGAGACAATAAGCTCGGTGGAGAAATTATCAACATCGTCAGGGATGAAAAGGCCTGGCGCAAAGCTCCTTTTTGGTCAGTCTGATGCTACTATGAAGGGCGGGACATCCTGCCGTCTACGCGATATGCTGACAGTCCCCATAGGCCAAAAGAGTTCGTCAAGCAACCAACCGCCGTGGAATCATCTGATGAGGAAGGCGAATCGAATGTGGGCAAGATGCCTTCATCAGACGAGTCGGATGCGTGATTTAACCCTCCGAAGCCTCTTCCAAACGACTCGCGTTCAGCTCAGCCATTGCCTGGTCCCTTGGCAGGGAATGGTTTTACTTCTGGATCTACCGATCATCAACAAGGTTCGGGAAAGCAGGGGAACTAGGGATGTTTGCAGCAGCTCCCTTGGAAGAGGGCTGCATGTCAGATTCATTGCAAATGTTCTTTCTGGCTACTCTGGTCCAGATGCTTGCGACTGAACGAGTTGCCGAGCACACCGAATACTTGAGCAGCGAGTGAGAGGATCACAACCAGAGAACTCGCGTTGGTACTAGGATATGTGTTCCAAGCCCACTCTTGCGCCACCCACACGACGTACACGAGGATCGGATGGAAGCCCGCCTGCCAAAGAAGGAAGGGTGTGGCGCAAGCAAGATAAGCAAAGAATTGGTAATGCAGCGATCTCGCGCACAGCAGACCAATCGCAAGTGAGGACAACATTGCCGTCATTATGAAAGACTTGGAAAGGGAGGCTGTGCGGTAACGTCGTTGGATTAACCGTTGCAGGAAGCTTGGCAGGTCTGATCCAGACGGCTTCAGCCATACTGTGGCAACAAACAGACCCAACAGCAAAATGTGCAATGCCAATAGGGCCAGGGAAAACTTCCGTGATAGAAATAGTTCTTCTCCAACAAACCTCCAATTGACCGTCCACTTGAACATGAATTGTCTGGTCAGCTCAAAGGCTCGCGAAACATATCCCGCCGGGTTGTTTTGCAGAAATGGTATCCCAAATAGGACCTACTCGCCGTGTTAGCCACTTCCTTTCGAGCAAAAGACACTTGCATTACCTGGATGAGCACCGCAAGGAATCCTAGTTGCATACTTGGTCCAAGAGATAAGCTAAGCACCAGCACCACTGCGATAGCAGGAGCCAGAAGCAGCAGCGTCATCTTGATGCCAACGCCTGTAGACCATACAATGGCTCCAGCAGTCCACTTCTTGTTCATGAACAAGAGGATAGAAACCCACATGGCGTAAGCCGCAAATCCATCGTTGAATAGGCGCAGCATGAAAACGCTATGGAGCCGCTTGGAGAGCACAAGGGGTACTAGCAGATACGGAGGGGCTCCAGCTTGTCTGTAGCAGGTCATCGCGACGGTCAATGTAGCGAGATATAGAATGGCGAACAGAATCTGTCCGAGGAAGATATCTCGTCCTTCATCCGTAAGGTGGTATAGGATGTTGAAAATGTACACGTGGGCGGCGGGATACACCAGGGGCCCCGTAGACCCTTTGATCAGGGTGTAGTCGCGCTCGCCGGAGATATAGAGAGAAATTTGCTGCATGTAGGTCGTCCAATCGATCTCAGTATCTGCATTCGAGGGCTCAATGTTAGCTTCAGGTAACTAGGAATGGTCCCGACATTCTAGAACACGATGCTGAACTCACATGGGACCTTCCAGATGATTAGTGCGCAAAGGACGGCATCGCCCAGAATAAGCAGAGGAGCAACCCATCTTGTATGTCTAGGGTTCATACAAAGATCGCGCAGAGTGTGCTTCAAGTCCATTATATTGATAGCGATGGTATATGAAGGTTTGCATTGTTGTTGCGGGTGGCCTGAGAGTGCGGAGCCAATGATATTCGCCAGTTTCCGGCTTAGCTCCAAACACGATGGGGAGAGTGGAAAACCATCGAAAATGCCATCAGGAGAACCAACCTTGGACGGGAGGGAAAATATACAGTAAACTCCGTAAGATGTCATTCATTCAATTCAATTCTATATAAATATAAAGCAGATACAAGTGTTAATATCTACACTATCTGTACATGGGTATAGCAGGCAATTGTGCCGTTTTTCGTGGGACAAGGGCATGAAGATTGCACGGCCGGCTGAAATCATTGCGCCTTGCTTATAATTGTATCACAAGATCACCAAGACCATTGTGGACCGATTTGTAACATCAGCCTTCTTGGTTTGTGGCAGTCACCGACTCAGTTCCGAGAGTCCGCTGTTTCTGCTTCCCGTCGGCAGTTGGAAATCCTAACAATTGGCCTAAAACGCCCTTGGGCTTAGGGACAGGGCATTCCCTCCCTGTATTGGCCAGACGTTCTGCTTCCTCCTCCATTTGTAGGAATGTCGACACCTCCTCGTCTGAAGACTGGGGCCTTATTTGGTGTATTGACGTCCCATCTTGTTCGAGCATGTTTGGGTCTTTCCTCCTCTTCCTTCGAATTCTATGTATTTGTTGTCCATCGGCGGTCACAATCATTTCGGAATCGGCCAGCGTACGACGTGGAGCGGGACATGGGAAGACGTGCGGCATGCCGACGACAAAGAGCGATGCGAGGAGTGTCGCTGCAAAGAGAGACATGGTCGACCGCGACCGCGGATGTAGATGAGGCGGCATTTCGGATGTAATTCAAAAGAAGCAATTGATACCAGAACCGTCGCTATGGCATTGACATAGAGAGATGGTGGTGCTAAGAGCTAACACGGTAAAGACTCATTAGCAACAAGCGGGGGTTCCTCATGCGGGACGAACAGCTCACCTTATCGTTGCTCAAAATAAGGTTGCTAAATCAACACTTAGGAAGGTAGAGATGTCCCAAGAAAGACATGGCTCTCTCCAATGGGCAGCGTGGCTGAAGCGCGAGACGCCGAAATGCAACACTCGGAGCAGCGGACGAAGAGTGCGAATTGAGTTGGATTCGACCTTTCTCTTGGCGGTCAGGATCTTATCTTATCTATCTGCAATGTGATTGGTCCAAAGTGCTCAGTCATAAGAAGTTGTCAACGCGCCACAGGACTTTGCTGTTGTTGCTGCAGGGCCCCCTTCGTCTGGAGTGCAAACCACTTGCATCCACCCCTGTTTCTTTCGCTCATCGTATGGGTTACGAAGAAAATGACTGTTGATATTTCCCGCATATAGCGCTTCTGTTTTTGTTCTTTGCTCCCTGGGTTTCCCAGGCTTGGCTAAGTCGATTTTTCCGTGACCTCCCCTCGGTTCTAGGACGACCCACCGATTGGTCACCAGCCACTCCGACTTGATCATCCCTTGAATTCTTTTCCTCCAGTTCGAAATACTATGAGTGATCTAGACAGGTAATACTGAAGAATTTTGCTTGCCATGAGTCCTCAAGGCCCTCACTGACTTCGGTTGCTTTCATCAGGGCGATCGCGCAGCTTCGCGCTTGCCGTTTGATCCCCGAGTCCGAAGTCCGCGAACTCTGCTACAAAGCTCGAGAGATCTTGATAGAAGAAGGGAACGTTGTTTCTGTGGATGCTCCGGTCACAATATGCGGAGATATACATGGCCAGTTCCACGATCTGATGGAACTGTTCCGCGTCGGAGGCGATGTTCCCGACACCAACTATCTCTTCATGGGTGACTTCGTTGATCGCGGGTTCTATTCTCTCGAGTCATTTCTGCTTCTCCTCTGTCTCAAAGTTCGCTATCCTGATCGCATCACCTTGATCCGCGGAAACCACGAGTCTCGCCAGATCACAACCGTCTACGGCTTCTACGACGAATGCATTCGCAAGTATGGCAGCGCCAATGTGTGGCGGTATTGCTGCGAGGTGTTTGATTACCTGGCGCTGGGCGCGCTTGTGCTTGGGGCCAGCTCAGAATTGGAACCGACCGGCTCAACTATGAACGACACCACCCAGTCCACGATGCCGATTGATGACGCGAAATTGGAGACGGAAGTACTCAACTCGAGAGGGGAGGTCACAATGAGCACTTACAGACGGCGACAACGATCTTCTTCGGACGCGTCGACTGATTCCAGAAACCTCTCCCCACCACGGGATATCTCCGCTGTGCCTGGCCAGGCTCCCGCCAGATCCGGCGCCCCGGGTACTGGGGCTTCGGGCAACGGAGCCGGTAGCAACACCAGTCGGACCGGTGCTGTGCTCTGCGTGCACGGCGGTCTTTCGCCGCTGATAGATACAGTGGATAAAATTCGCCTGATTGACAGGAAACAAGAGGTCCCACATGAGGGCGCCATGTGCGACTTGCTCTGGTCAGACCCGGACGAAATCGAAGGGTGGGGATTGAGTCCGCGTGGTGCAGGCTTTTTGTTCGGTGGAGACATCGTGAAGCAGTTCAACTACAAGAACGACTTGTCCCTGGTCGCTAGAGCTCACCAGCTCGTCATGGAGGGCTACAAGGAGATGTTTGACGGCGGGATCGTCACTGTCTGGTCAGCCCCTAACTACTGCTACCGATGTGGCAACGTAGCCGCAATACTGGAGCTCGGCGAGGATACAAGTAACGGGGGTACGATTGCTAGAAGCAACGGTGATTATGGACGGAGTAATGGGGTCTCAGGCGCAGACGGCGGCGGTTCAGGGGTCGTCAGTCCCGGTAGAAGGTACAGAGTGTTTGAGGCCGCCGCGCAGGACACGAGGGGCATGCCTGCGAAGAAACCTGTTGCTGATTATTTCCTGGTGAGTTTTTCCCCCTTTCATTTGAGACACGCTGAGTTTACTAACAATGCGCAGTGATACCATGTGATGCACTTATCTTCCCTTCTAAGAATACCTTTTACATTCTTATATAGGCCGGCCCAATCAATGAATACTTTTTTTTTTCTTCAGGTCATTGCATCCTTTATGCATTATTAAAATCTCATTGTAGTCCTGCTTATAAACAGGGTATGAATCTATGTGTGTTTTATGTCCAGTAAGCACCTATGGTTGGCCATGAGCGAACCGAGCTTGAAAACAGCCAATAACACTAGTGATTCGAAAGTTCACTATTATCATCTCAAAAGACATTGGAAATAGATATCCTTCCTCATTAACGGTGCCAAAAAGACTCAGGATGCCATCCCATCGCTAGATCATAAACTAGATATCCCAAACCATGACATAATACACTTCGTAATACAAGATTGAACATGAACATCATCGCTGGGAATCACCTGGAAGACCTATATTGTTATATCCAGAGATGCTGGGACCTTGTTCCGACTCGGTCAGATTAGGAGGCACGCCAACGGGGTACCTGAAGGCCTGTGGCGCTC